TGACTTTATCGCCCAGCGTCACACATTCCACGAGACGTCCTCCGGTTCCAGTGAAAGCAGCGTGAACAAAATATTAAGGCCAAACGACCGATGAAAAGTGAGAATAAGCCGTTGTCAGTTGGTGAGAGGGAATAAATAATCTCATTATCAGATACTTTCACACAAAATGCAAGCCACCATAACAAGCTTACCGCTAGATCTTCATCAAAACCCAATTACATTTTGTATATATACGCGACAGAGTACGGAGTGGGGCGCAAGTGTTTGCCCATATATTTTCTGATAGTCTCCATGGCTTCCCAAATTTGGGACAAGTATTCGTCTTCCACGTGCCTCAATTGGAGGCTATGAAGTGCTCTTATCATATTTATCCACGATACGCACCTGACACGGTTGCTGCTCATCTCTATTCTCAATTCCCACAGCGTCGTTAGGCCTAGTATGATTGGAGTGTTATGATAGATTTGATCGAGATGAGCCAAATGTAGCCCTGCAAATAAATCGCCTCCGCTAAACTGATTTCGTCGACCCATCTCAAATAAAGGCCTCCAGGCTGCAAGTTAACCTGTCCGTTATGATTCCAATCACATGGCATTTGTGTTTGGCCCACTGATCGGAAAATTCGGAGGCCCTTCCTGTGAGCCAGTCAACAACTCCTGGGACCTGTTGATTTCTTGTTTCAAACAGAAGAGCTGGTCAACGGAAATCACTACATCAAAGGGCTGTCTCTACCTACCCACGGGACGGCCAACCTGTTGGAGCTCTGTCTTAATGACTCGTCAAGTTGTTGTACAGGATATGTGGAACGCCGTGACGGTAAAGTCAGGGCAAAGATAAGCGGGAGTGACTTATGAGGGAAAGCAAGATAATGTGGCAGGCTTTCGAGGGCAGATTTAAGAAGCCCCGCAGCCTGTCAAAAGTTATTGGGCAGATTGTTATTATCTGAAGCTATGAGTGCTTGCAATTGGGTTTGTGTGCGCTGGACTGTGTGAGGCGATTATAAATGAATATCCATTCTGAGTCTTTTTGAAGGAGATTTTCTCGACTGGCTCGTATGAAAAATGAAGAGGTTCAGAGACTTGGCTGAGCAGATTCGAGCTGATTGATAAGCCAGGAGGACAAATCAGATGAAAATGAGACGTGAAGAGGTAGACTTAATGAGCCTTCTGGGGAACATTCCACATCTGATAATAAGTTACATTTCAGCTTGGTTTCATCACAGACAGACAAATGTTGGCGACCCCATTTTTCATGATCCTTAATTTTCCTTGATCGCCCATTTTTCATGATCATCCATTTTTTATGATTTACTCTGATTGCCCGTTGTCCCAGCAACACGTGGGGACTGTTGCTATCAC